CGGGCCTTCGGCCTCGTTTACTATTTGCAATATAATGTCTCTATATTATATGTGAGCAAGAAGCACCGTAAATTTACGAATTTTGCCCGTTCCATTTGGCCATTTCATGTGACCAATTATGTTCATGAACAAGCAAACAAACAAGGGAGGTGCGTTCTTTACCCAAAGACACCTCCCCTACAATTTCCCTTCCCTGGGTCACGAACAAAGGTTTGCGATGACTTAGAAGTTTCAGATGATGATTAGTGAAATAGAACACGCACAACTCATTCATAAGTAATTCCGAGAGGTATATTTTGTCGTGACAACCCTGTAACACCTTTAATTGGTCAGCCAAACAGTTCTTGGGAACAAGGTCAAGCGGAAGTTTGGACATTCAACATGTCCTTAATTAGTACAGTTTTTCTTTATATCCTTCCTATAAATATTAGATAAAATAGTATAAACTGCATTCTGTTTCTGTTCCTTTCCTTTCCATAATAACCTTCAACAGAAATGGATTTTCGTCCGAAATTTGGACGAATCGGTTAACAGACGTATTTCAGCGTTTGTGGGCTTTACAGTACCGCCCACAATTAGCTGACTCACCGTGACTGGTATAAATAATGCCGTCACTTGAATCAGTTGACTTTCTCTAGGTATATATGACAGACTGGCCTTTCATCAATACATTACCCCTAGAGGGATTCCCGGGCCACGTTTCAGAATGGAACCGCCAAAACAGTGTTTAACTATGGGAGTACAACAGACGCAGTGTTACGATCGCTATGGGAAGTTGTTTGTTGGTTTATTGTTTAACTATGGGGTTACAACAGGCGCAGTGTTACGATCGCTATGGGAAGCTGTTTGTTGGTTTATTGTTTAACTATGGGAGTTACAACAGGCGCAGTGTTACGATCGCTATGGGAAGCTGTTTGTTGGTTTATTGTTTAACTATGGGAGTTACAATCGTTATGGGAAGCTGTTTTTGTTGTTTAACTATGGGGAGTTAAAACAGCGCAGTTGTTACGATCGCTATGGGGAAGCGCTGTTTGTTGGTTTTTGTTGTTTAACTATGGGAGTTACAACAGGCGCAGTGTTACGATCGCTATGGGTCGCTGTTTGTTGGCTGTTTGTTGTTTAACTATACAACAGGAGTTACAACACGCGCAGTGTTACGATCGCTATGGGTCGCTGGAAGCTTTGTTGGTTTATTGTTTAACTATGGGAGTTACAACAGGCGCAGTGTTACGATCGCTATGGGAAGCTGTTTGTTGTTTAACTATGGGAGTTACAACAGGTGCAGTGTTACGATCGCTATGGGAAGCTGTTTGTTGTTTAACTATGGGAGTACAACAGGTGCAGTGTTACGATCGCTATGGGAAGCTGTTTGTTGTTTAACTATGGGAGTTACAACAGGCGCAGTGTTACGATCGCTATGGGAAGCTGTTTGTTGTTTAAACAACAGGTACAGTGTTACGACAAGCTGTTTGTTGTTTGGGCATGGGAGCAGTGTTACGATCGCTATGGGAAGCGCAGTGTTACGATCGTGGGAAGCTGTTTGTTGTTTAACTATGGAGTTACAACAGGCGCAGTGTTACGATCGCTATGGGAAGCTGTTTGTTGGTTTGTTTAACTATGGGAGTTACAACAGGCGCAGTGTTACGATCGCTATGGGAAGCTGTTTGTTGTTTAACTATGGGAGTACAACAGGCGCAGTGTTACGATCGCTATGGGAAGCTGTTTGTTGGTTTATTGTTTAACTATGGGAGTTACAACAGGCGCAGTGTTACGATCGCTATGGGAAGCTGTTTGTTGGTTTATTGTTTAACTATGGGAGTTACAACAGGCGCAGTGTTACGATCGCTATGGGAAGCTGTTTGTTGTTACAACAGGCGCAGGTTACGATCGCTATGGGAATTGTTTAACTATGGGAGTTACAACAGGCGCAGTGTTACGATCGCTATGGGAAGCTGTTTGTTGGTTTATTGTTTAACTATGGGATTTACAGCAGGCGCAGTGTTACGATCGCTATGGGAAGCTGTTTGTTGGTTTATTGTTTAACTATGGGAGTTACAACAGGCGCAGTGTTACGATCGCTATGGGAAGCTGTTTGTTGGTTTGTTGTTTAACTCCGCACTCAGCAAGCATGGGTTACTGAAGATCAGTTCTAACCCGGATCTTCACGGGTCTGTAGATAATCGAGTATGGACCAGACAATTTGGTGATCGACAGAATGAGCATCGATCTACGCAGTTGGGATACGATGACATGTGTCAATCAAGTCAGCGAGCCTCACCACTCAATCGCCTTTTACGACAAGCATGGGCTGCTAAAGATCAATTATAACCCGGATCTTTAGAAACGGGATCCAGGGTTATAGTTTAAAAAGCAGTCTTAGGCCTAGGGCTGTCGTAAGTCCATGTTAAGTTGTGGGAGTATTATCACCTTAGCGTTAAGATATTTTGTACAACGAAATGTAGAATATTACATTTCCGATTCGATGGCGTAAATTTCAAATGCAAAGGCGTTTTGAAAAGTAGACACTGTCAAATACTTCCGAAATTATGTTATGCGTTAAAAATCTGTAAATTTCTTCGTTATTTGTTGCATATAAAAATGCACTGTGCGAATTTTTATATTTGTCATCTTTAGGGAAAACTGTGAGCGGACAAAATGGTGCCTGAGATCTGAACGACATATCAAATGGATTTGTATTCTTATGTATGACGTTATACATTCATTGAATAAAGGAAAATCAAGTTCTATGAACACCGTTATCAAGCTAGCATCATGACTTGCTTGATAAATGTGTTAGTACCTGCACCGAAATGTCACACTCATTGCAATAAAGAAGTTGACTATCCATAGAACCAGGTTTTTTTCATCTTTACAACTTCTAAAATGCCTCTCAAAGAACTCATTAAATACATTGACTTAAATGAAAATTGATTTACTCTGCGACGTGAAACAACGATAGTGATGTCACACATGCATACAGATAAAGATGCATAACTCCACCTTGCTTAATACTAGGTCATTTATACTTAGGTCATTTATTCTTAGGTCATTTCGATATGGCTGCGATATTGCCGATGTGACGTTAAATATTAACTCACTCACTCACTTAGGTCATTTGGAAAGAATTTGCTGTGGATAAACACACTACATTATCGTGAGGTTCTGTTGACGTTGCACCAAACTATCCCAATACAAAGATCTACACTGTTACGCTTTGGTAGCATCACAATTTATACAAGAAAAGTTGAGACAGGTCATGGATATTATTGTCCGAAAACAACCTATGTTAAGCACGTTTAATGAACATGTTTAGAATCTTCAAAACATCCAATTGTCTTGCAGGTTTGCCAACACCTGTACTAGTGTGTTTACACTGAAATAGTGAAGCTATAGGACCTGCGTTTCGGGCTTTACTCCCACATTCAGTTGACACGCCGTGAAAGTGAGTGAGTGAGTGAGTTTAGTTTTACGCCGCTTTAAGCAATATTCCAGCAATATCACGGCGGGGGACACCAGAAATGGGCTTAACACATTGTACCCATGTGGGGAATCGAGCTCGGGTCTTCGGCGTGACGAGCCAACGCTTTAACCACTAGGCTACCCCACCGCCCCCACGCCGTGAAAGAACGGGACATCTATTAAAATACCGTTAAACCCAACTCTCTCACTCAAATGACGTGCATTGAATACTTGTATGTCATGTTTATAAAGAAAGGATGATGAATATTAACAGTAATATAAAACCTCACTCACTCACACACGGTTAAGAACTTCGACTTCAGTCTTAAACAGTCATCACGTGTATTAAGGTGAACGTAAATATTTTTCATTGCTAAAATAATTTTGTTAGAAGTAGATAATGTATCATCACAAATAACAGAAGCGACACGCTTCAATAACGTAACAGAGCAGCGGGAGACCTATCTTATGTTAGTGTCACCATAGTTCAGCTCAGTAAACCAGTTTCCCAAGAGAATAGGTTTAATATGGCAGGTGCTAGACAAAGCCGCCATGGTTGGCTTCAAACGATGCTTTGTTCAAACATACTCGAACAATTCACTTATGTTCTGAGTTCGAGATCTACTGGACTTCAAAATCAATGATGCATACTTGAGATATGTGCACTTAGAAACTTTAGAAGGATGTTCGATGTTATGGTGAGTGAGTGAATTCAGTTTTACGCCGCACTCAGCATTGTTACAGCTATATGGCGTCGGTCTGTTAATAATCGAGTCTGGTCCAGACAATCCAGTGATCAACAGCATGAGCATCGATCTACACAATTGGAATACGATGACCTGCTTCAACCAAGTCAGCGAGCCTGATCACCCGATCCCGTTAATCGCTCTTACGATAAGCATGGGTTACTAAAGATCGATTCTAACCTGGATCTTCACGGGTTACGATGTTATGGTGAATGTGTTACATCCCAGGTGATACAATTTGTCTTAAAGCAACGCCATGTTTTGTTACGTGTATAGGCAAACAGTACAAAGGAGTCTTCCAGTTCCTTCCGGAGCATACACGTGGTACATTATCATCATTCAGTGTAGAAAATATGTAACATTTATCAAACTGAAATAACATTGAATGCGGCGTTAATCAACCCAATACGCACATCTGGACAATGATGACCCGATTTCATCTGAAGTCCAATCCAGAAAGCATTCCACTTTATAGAAAAACCCACCTGAGATCCTCTGCATATACATGGGAAATGAAGGTTTGTGAAGTGCACGTTAGTTTGTCTAGGTTTTCGTGTGTTGTATTGTTATGTTTCAACGCCAGCTGTATGGCAACGGTCTACGGTCTGCTTGCAAAAGACAAAGCAGTGATTGATGTTATGATCAACGATCCACGCCATAGACCATAACTTGATGCCTTTACACGTCTCCCAAAACAAGGATTACCACCCCAGCCCGGAATCAAAAAGGGTCCTTACACCCAGTACGAATGAAAGCAATAAATAGTAAATATCACATTCTATCAATTCATACTACAATATACTCATGGAAACAAATAAGGGAACACATGAAATTACAACTGTTCCTTTATTCTTTCCAGGGTTTTTCACAAGGTGTGTATTGCACTGTGAAATTCTGGAAATAAATAAAGGAACACTTGTACTTTCATGTGTTCCCTTATTCGTTTCTATGAGTATACTTTGTGTTCAAAATAACATTGTAATTAATACTTGACCCTTGATGGCGGTATTTAATACCTGATCACTTGTAATTCACAACTTGATAAAAATAAGGTCCATTCCTTTCTTTAGTGTCATATGTTCCAAAATAGTGTTTATGTTTTGGAAATTGAACTTGACACATTAATATCATATTGACAACTATCAAACTCCTAGTTGAAACGTTCCACCAGATGGTCGCATCTGCTTGGACATATCATACAATGCCAAGATACAGATCAAACAGTTTACAGAGTGCACTAATACGTCTTGTCACGAAACAGTTACTTGTGTCTCTTAATAATAGATTTCGGGTTCTATGTGTCATCATGCGTGTGTTCATCCAACCAAATGTGCTTTCGTCAGAATCTTTATACTAGTTCTTACGATTGCCTTCTGCAAAATATAGGAATACAGGTCTATATGTTTGCTTTACACATTACAAGTGCAGATATATTCAGGCGCATTATCAAATTGATAATGCGCCTGAATAATAAATATCAAACAATTCATAAAACTATGACTTCAGATGCACGGCATGGCTATGTCCGGTTTCATATAGATTTAAACATGTTGACATATACTACTCAAAATATCCTAAGGGTCATGTTTTGATGACATTAAAAATCATCCAATAGTTAATGATGGAAAAACTTACTACACAATGATTGGGTAACCCCTACAGTACTTCAGTTTCTTGATGAGTGAGTGAGTGAGTGAGTTAAAATTTAACGTCACCTCGGCAATATTTCAGCCATATAGTGACGAGAAAAGTTTCATGATGAACGGACAGAAGTATGCAGCCATGGGTACATCAATCTACGCAATTGGGATACTATGACTGAGAGCCTGACCACCGATCCCGTTAGTCGCCTCTTACGACAATCATGGGTTACTGAAGATCAGTTCTAACCCGGATCTTCACGGGTTGGACAGACGAGGACTGTGCTCCAGTACATTTCATGGATGAATCGAGATCGCGCTCAAGCCAGGCATAGACAAGAAGAAAGATTTACAAAATTCCAACATAGCCGACCACCATGGAGCAGGCTCAATCATGACTTGTAGTGAGGTCAGAACAGCTGGAAGAACCGACCTCCATGTCCTACAAGTGTGGGTTACAGGGATGACATTCTGTATGTGTACGTGAGGTGCTATCGGCCCGGACCATATCCACATGCACGACATCGCGCGGCTAAGTTCGTTGATGCCAACTTAGAGCAGGAAACCATTGTCTGCACAGAGTGGACTGCCTTGTCACTGGACCTCAACCCAACAGAACACATTGGAAACGACATCGCCTTCTTTGGACGCTCTGTACTTCCGGCAACTCTACAGGAACTCGGCAATACTCTGGTGAGTGGAACAGTCTTACCTTGGCAACCATCCCGATACTTTTAGGGAGCATGAGATGATGGTGCCAGGTGTGGTCGCATTTTTTGGCTCATGCTTTTTGTGTTCATTAAACATTTTCAATATGTTCAACAGATGCATACGAATTTCCGTATTACGTTTTACAGTCACTGGGGTAATCCTTAGCAAACTTGTTGGCGGTATTATAGTTGTTAAACTCTTCGTTGTCGAGGTTTAAGATATTGTACATGAAGAAGTTCTGCTAGTCAGCGTATGGTTGGTATAGTGCCAATGGCACTTAACGTGGTTCACTCTTAGTTTTCACTCTCCAACTCACTCCACGATCTCTCGCACACATACTCTCTCAATCGCTCAGAAAGAACACACACTATGTTCTTTAGAGAAAGCATATCGTAGAAAAGCTCATGTTTTGGGTGAACATATACTTACCTTGAATTCAGTTGTGCAGGGCTAGCCAAAAAGTGGAAGTCCAATGTCCGCTGTCCAGTCCACGTCCAGTAAGCTGAACCATCCAGGCCAACAGAACCAATGTTGTATTAGTTCCAACTCTACCTTCAGGCACCGCTCTGACTACTGCCACTAATGTGGGGCTGGTCTCACCTGAGCGTCTGCAATGACAGGTGAAGCTGATCACCTAATTAGCTTACTGGAGAAGATCGATACGGCTTCTCTATCCTGTGCACCCACCACTACGCTCTGGGGGGTAATGTCGGGAGTGATCCTGTGACAGGTTGTATAGGTATTGTCATGTGAAAGGTAGACTAGTTATAGTTGCCATTTGGCCATCAATGACAGTTCTATATGTATCATCAAAAACAACTGTATACGTAGTTGTCAGGTATGTCATCCATCCATCCATCCATCCATCCATCCATCCATCTATCCATCCATCCATCCATCCATCCATCCATCCATCCATCCACCCATCCATCCATCCATCCATTCATTCATTCATTCATTCATTCATTCATTCATGTTATATTTTTATGGACGTATTTATTTATGACAATCCTGTGAATGCATCATTTCAATGATCCACGTCCTTGTGAAACACTCATTCAACCAATTCACCTCTTCAGACCATCATATGTTGCTGGGTGCCTATCGTACCCGGGAGTCCCAACGGACGGGAAGAGATAGGTCCGTTATAATTGATAAGAACCCCTCTTTAATGCCCTCTTTCTCGCACACGGTACATATAAGAAACGTATATATTTCAACATTGTAAGAGTATATAATTATTAAACTAGAAAATATTGTCTTTTTAACCTTTTTGACATGGCTGTCGTATACAACCTGGCAGAACACTTTCATGTTATTGTGATAATCAAATGAATTATTTAACAAGCCTCGTTATTAAGAAAACGACAATGACACAAAGACATGGTTGACAAACGAGAGACATGAAGCGTTACAGAGCTTTTTTCTAATCAGAGGTCAGATCAGTCCACATGTTGCTAGCAGTACTAGTGTAAGTTTGCTTTAACGTCGATTTGAACAGTATTTTAGTTAGATCATGTTTGTTTGCTTTTTCTTATTGTTTGATAACAAACACATCAGTATTGCCACTGTATAACAACTGCCGTAACAATAACCGTAACAGACAATCCAGGTTCTGATATTAGGAACAACGATCCGCGCCGTTTGAGTGATTGAGTTAAGTTTTACGCCGCTTTTAGCAATATTCCAGCAATATCAAGGCTGGGGACACCAGAAATGGGTTTCACACATTGTACCCATGTGGGGAATCGAACCCGGGTCTTCAGGCGTGACGAGCGAACGCTTTAACCACTAGGCTACCCCACCGCCCCACCGAGCGTAACCACCCGATCCACTTGGTCTGCATCTTATCACCTGCAGAGGATGGTGGGAACGTATTTTATCCGGGAGACCTTTCTCAAGCTACATGTCACATTTCATGCCCGACAACTGATGTGAGTTGTGTCTATCGTGGCTTGAATTCCCGTCCTATCAAGGAGTGTCAGTTTGATCCGGAAGGAAAACCCTAACTGATGCAGGTCTTATGGGTTGGGGTGTTATAGTGCTGAAGCTCCTCGCCAGTAGTCAAGGCGAGGCGGGTACTGGAACTAACAACCATAGGTGTCTTGTTGTAATGAGGGACTGAACTCTGCAAAGCCCAGTGCTGCGCCTTAGACCACTGGGCCACCTGTTCCCCTTTTTGTTAAAGGACAGGGTACAATTGTCGTCATAGAGGATGTTAGTTTTTATATACAGTACGTCGCGGTGAGATATCCTTTTCCAGGAACGTACGCAAGTCACGAACAGGTTACGATTGCTCACAAAGGTATAATGTGTCAATCTCCCACCTTTTGAAAATGACTCAGCACAGATACAACACAATGTGTCTATATGAAACATATCAACACTAGATACAGCACAATGTGACTGATTAAAACATGTTAACTTTCACTACATACCGTGTAACATGCCAACAAGCTACACAACACAGCGTGTCTACATGTAACATGCCAACACTTTATACAACACACACAACATGCCAATGTGTCTACATGTAACATGCCAACACTTTATACAACACAATGTGTCTACATGTAACATGCCAACACTATATACAACACAATGTGTCTACATGTAACATGCCAACACTATATACAACACAATGTGTCTACATGTAACATGCCAACACTATATACAACACAATGTGTCTACATGTAACATGCCAACACTATATACAACACAATGTGTCTACATGTAACATGCCAACACAACATATACAACACAATGTGTCTACTACATACAACATGCCAACACTATATACAACACAATGTCTAACATGCCAACACATGCCAACACTTTATACAACACATGTGTCTACATGTAACATGCCAACACTATATACAACACAATGTGTCTACATGTAACACTGTATACAAACATGTAACATGCCAACACTGTATACAACACAATGTGTCTACATGTAACATGCCAACACTGTATACAACACAATGTGTCTACATGTAACATGTCAACACTATATACAACACAATGTGTCTACATGTAACATGCCAACAAAATACAACACAATGTGTCTACATGTAACATGCCAACACTATATACAATACAATGTGTCTACATGTAACATGCCAACACTATATACAACACAATGTGTCTACATGTAACATGCCAACACTATATACAACACAATGTGTCTACATGTAACATGCCAACACTATATACAACACAATGCCAACACTTTATACAACACAATGTGTCTACATGTCTATATACATGTAACATGCTATATACAAACACTATATACACTTTATATACAACACAATGTGTCTACATGTAACATGCCAACACTATATACAACACAATGTGTCTACATGTAACATACCAACACTTTATACAACACAATGTGTCTACATGTAACATGCCAACACTATATACAATACAATGTGTCTACATGTAACATGCCAACACTTTATACAACACAATGTGTCTACATGTAACATGTCAACACTGAATGCTGTCAACCTGTGATGTGTCAACGTTGGATACATTACAATGCGATTGAACAGTGTGATTGGACCTAATGTATCATCTTCCGCCATGACAATGATACCTGATCGTTACCATTTGTCGATATGGCTCTTCCGGCAATCACGCATAAAATAGGAGAGAAGAGAACACCCAGTTATAAGATTATAACCAGGGTACGTAAAATCCATTGCCACTAAAACAAAGTAATTCCACTAAGAGAATAAACGTGGCAGGCCATTGTACAGGATCATATTCCAATCATGGAATTAGTCGTGTCCCTCCAGGGGCAATACGAGATATCTATAACGACCAACTTATTGATTCCTGAAAGTCGTAAACAGTCAGTGACGGAGAGTTATCAACGTGTTGATATCCGCCAGCATGAACAATGGGTGTTATGTCGGAACGGACTCAGTAAGTCTGATTTTTACACCCAAGCAGAATATATCATAGTATAGAACGCCAAAGCCAGAGAATAACCAGTCTTGATCCGATTTGATTGGATGCAACGTGTGAAAACGTCAACGTCAGTCTACATAATTTGCCGAAACAGACCTTCTTCGACTGGCATGTTTAGGAGTTGGAGAATCAGATAAGGACAAAACTTTATGGATGAACAACTTCTTTATTCGGATGATGCGACGTTTCGATACAGATTCTTGTATCGCTGTCAAGCAAGTCGTAAAAGGTAAAATGGTGGTGAAAATTATATGACGTGATGATATGACAGGAGTAACTACCCTAAATGTTATGGTCACCTCTCCCCATTGAGATTATTTTAAAACTACATTAGTCCTGGATTAGTTTGCCGTAAATAGGTTTTTCGATGGGCGTGGTAGCCATATTGTAAATGGTATTTGAATATCTCGAAGCTATTCTTGAAGGCGTCACGGTGACGACTGGTGGAAACAAGCCTCTGTATTATTTATTCAGAGAAGTTCACGGACATGACATTAGCTAACGGCTATCAGGGGAGCTGAAATAGATTTACTGATATAAGTTTAATTTACTGATGCAGTTATTTTGAGTAATTAAAAACCTTTTACGAGGTGTCCGTAGGGCGAAAACAAATGCCATATAAGGACAATGGGATATATATCGAGATAAACCTAGTTCGGGAATATATATTGCAGGTCGACAGTACTTTCGATGCAGGACACGTGAATTGTTCCATTGAGTCTATTTAAATTCTGTCGGTTTCATTTCATCATCGTCGGGTTAAAGGAGTTCTAGTTTCACGGTAACGCGTTGTCCATGTTGATGCAACCTTAAAAAATGAACATTCAATATGTCCTTGCAAGCAGCCGTTCATGTACCAACACAACGCAAACTCCAATCAACGTGAAGAGATCCTTAGCCGTGCTGTAAACATTAATCAGTGTCACAGACTGTTATTGACCATATCACAAATAGAGTAATCTCCATATTCTCATTTATCACCTTCAGTAATTGTCCGAAACCGAAATAACAAGAGCTCTTATGCACCGCTGAGAGAGCCAGTAAACCATGTTTAGAAGGGCGAGAGTCATATGAACACAAAGTGACAGAATAGATTGATCAGTGGCGTTTTGCTTCTACAATCACGGCCATGCAGACTGGGTCACAGAAACGGATATAACGCCGACGGCGTCAGGAATGGTTCATATGACACGTTCCCAGCGTTAGGGGAACTTTCCATAATTTTCTTTGTTTATCCTCGCACTCTTTGCAATATTCCAGCTTTTTGGTGGCTGCTTGTAATACCTGCGTTTAGATACGGCATCCAGTGAGTGACATCATGAGCAACAGTCAATGAACCTGACCACCAGATCCATATTGGACGCTTCTTACGACCAGTGTAGGTGCCTTTGGGCCTATTCTAGATAGATAGAAACGTCAGTCAGCATGCTAAATCGTAATACGTATATAGTAAGATGATCTGTAAACGTTCAGGTACGCTTCCGAGGAATACAGCTGGTCATTTTTGTATTTAAGAAAATAAATAATTGGACACCCATTTATCGTACTCCTAAATATAAAGAGTCCTATGAGCCTAACTCCGTCACTGAACTTTATTGGGTCCACACAGTGGCATGAACATACAGCATTCAGTCACAATGCAATGTGACAATGTGACAATGTGACAATGTGACAGTCTAAGTCCAGAACCA